TGACGAAATCGAGCACGGCTGGCGAATTATTATTTGAGGATGCTTCCAGCGAAACGCTTGTTTTCGAAATTCCCCAATGAGGCGTACCTACGGGGTTCACACTTGTTTAACGGTTGGTGCCTCGGGTGGCTCTTTTGCCCGTTCTTCGGAGGTTCCTTGTGTTCCTCGGGTTCCCCGGGGTCCTTTGGTTCCTCCGGTTCCTCGGGTTCATCGGGTTGCTCGGGTTCTTCTGGTTCCTCGGATTCCCCGGGTTCCCAGGGTTCCTCGGGTTCCTCTGGTTTTTCGGGTTCCTCGGGTTCCCCGGTTCTTCGGGTTCCTTGGTTCCTCGGGTTCCCCGGGGTCTTTTGGTTTCTCAGGTTCCGGTTCCTCGGGTTCTCAGGGTTCCTCGGGTTGCTCGGGTTCCTCGGGTTCCTTGGGTTCCCAGGGTTCCCCGGGTTTCCCGGGTTCCCCGGGGTCCTCGGGTTTTTCGGGTTTCCCGGATTCGGGTTCTTCGGGTTGGTTCCCAGGGTTCTTCGGGTTCCCTTGGTTCCTCGGGTTCCTCGGGTTCCTCGGGTTCCTCGGATTCCTCGGATTCCCCGGGTTACCCGGTTTCCTCGGGTTCCCCAAGAAATACCAAGCAATGGAATGCCAAGTGATACCAAGCAATGCCAAGCGATGGCAATCAGTGCCAAGAAATGCGAAGCAGTGCCAAGCAATGCCAAGGAATGCCAAGCAAAGCAAAGCGATACAAGGCAATGCCACGCAACGCCAAGCGATGCCAAGCAATGCCAAGCGATGCGCCCAGCGATGCGCCCATCCAACAGGGTTCCCCCTAATTGGGCTCGCGCCAGGTTCATTCGTTCCGATAAATAACAAGGTGGAGTGAGTTTGTTCGTTTGTTGCGGATGTCTCAAGAGAAACGATTGCTTCGTAGAATTGGTTGAGGGTGTCTCGAGCGAAATGCGTGCTTTGTCCTATAGACTGCCCCTCTCATGGGGCTCGCAGCCTTCGCGTTTTACGTGTAATCTGATAGATCTCCCCAAGGCGAACGCCTCAGAGCGGGACAGCCATGAAAACACGTGGGTTCCTAACGCCCCAGCGGGACAAGCTTGAAAACACATGGGTTCCTAACGCCCCAGAGCGGGGCAAACGTGAAAATGTATGGACTCCTAGCGCGCCAAAGCGGGACAAGCACGAAAGCACGCGGGTTCCTAGACCCCAGAGCGGGACAAGCGTGAACACACGTGGGTCCCTAACGCCTTAGAGAAGGGCAAGTTTGAAAACACGTGGGTTCCTAATGCCCCAGAGCGGGACAAGCGTGAAAACATGTCGGTTCTTGACGCCCCAGAGCGGGACAAACGTGAACACATTTGGGTTCTTAACGCTTCAGGGCGGGACAAGCGCGAAGCTAGGTGGGTTCCTAACGTTCCTGAGCGGGACAAGCGTGAAAGCACGTGTGTTCCTAACACCCCAGAGCGGGACAAGCGGCGTGAAAACACATGGGTTCCTAAAGCTCCCGAGCGGGACAAGCGCGAACACGCACGGGTTCCTATTGATCCGGGCGGGGCAAGCGTGTAAACATGTGTGTGTGTGTTCCGAACGTATCAGAGAGGGACAAGCGTGAAGACGCATAAATTCCGCACGTCCCAGGGCGGGACAGGCATGAAAACACGCGAGTTCTTAGCGCCCCAGGGCAGGACAAGCGTGCACACATTCGTGGTTCTCACGCCCCAATGGCGGGACGAGCGGGACGACACGTGGGCTCCTAGCGCCCCAGTGCGGGACAAGCGTGAAACCACGTGGTTTCTTGACGCCCCTGAGAGAGACAAAGGCGAAACACACATGGGCTCATATCGCCCCCGCGGGACAAATGAGGAAAAGAACGCGTGGGGCCCTAACGCCGCCCCCGAGTGGGAGAAGCGCGAACACGCACGGGTTCCTAGCGCCCCAGAGCGGGACGAGCGCGAAGGCACACGGGTTCTGAATGCTCCCGAGCGGGACAAGCGTGAACACACTTGGATTCTGAACGCCCCAGGGCGGGACAGGCATGAAAGCACTTGGGGTCCAGACGCCCAAGAGTGGGACAAGCGTGACAACACAGTGGTTCCTAACGCGCCAGGGTGGGACACGTGTGAACACGCGTTGGTCCTTGGCACCCCAGAGCGGGACAGGCGTGAAGCCATGCAAGTTTCTAACGCCCCAGAGCGGGACAAGTGTGAAAACACGTGGGTTTTGAACGCCCCAGGGCGGGACAAGCGTGAAAACACTTGGGTTCCTGACGCTCCAGGCCGGGACGGCGTATGCCCCTCCCCCTTCGGCGCGTCCCGTGGCGCATCCCTTGGCTCGTCCTTTGCCGCGTTCCCTGGCTTGTCCCCTGGCGCTTACCTGCCCGTTGCGTGGAGCGTCCCTTGCCATGTCCCCTGACACGTCCCCTGGCGCATCCCCTAGTGCGCCCCCGGCACATCCCATGGCACGTCCATGCGCCCTGCGTCCCGTGTCGTCTCATCCCGCTTCGGAATTGAGTCGGATCTTGAGCTCGAGCTGATTGAGCGTCCCGCACGTTTCGATTGCAACCAGCTCTGGGCCAGCTATGCGCTCAAGCAGCTCGAGCTGAAGATCCAGATCAGTTTGGTCAGGATGCGGATGCCAAAGGCGACTTGATTCACAACGCTATAGATCACACCGCAATTACCTCGGCATGGCACATCTGATTTCAGCACCGTGCAGCACAACCCTTGGCACGGTACATCACGATCGATATCCTTGGATTGCAATTGCCCGTCGCCCAAGCAGGTGTCTTGAAAGCGCCGCCATGCCCTCACATGTCTAAATTCCTTTCCAGGTTCATGGGTCGATCATGTTTGGTCTGGGGACCGCCCCGCGCGTGCTGATTGGATCTAATGTCGTTATTTTCTTACCAGAGATTCTGGCACGCCCTGGGCCCGTTGGGCCGGCGAATTCTGCTGGCTCTGATGCCCATGTCGGCGTCGGCGACGATCTATACAACCACACCGTGTTCGTGGTTTGGGTACTCTGAGCAAGAGTTCGAGCAGGTGTGGTACTCCAGGTTCTTCATTGCGTCGGTCGTGGCCACAGCCGTCTGCGCTCTCACCACCCTTCTGGCGTCGCTTCCATTGTGTCTCGGGGCCAGGAAGGGCATGCCTCTGAGAATTATCGCGGGCGTGCTCGCTCTGATCGCTGGCTGCTCCATGTGTCTCCCCATGGCAATGGGCATTGCGCATCGGGTGTATTACCAGAGGGAGTACTGCACCAGGTGCTACGACTGGAACTGCGACGAGTGGTACAGGGAGGCGCACTTTACTTTCGAGGACGTGGTCTCAGACTACGATCAAGCTTTCGGTTTCCTTGTCCTCGTCTTCGGCGTCGCCACCTTGGTCCTGTCCTCCATCACATGCTGCCGGTGCTGCGGCTCAATGAGTGAGCGTAACACGCAGAAGCAGACAGTCTCGGCCGCGCCTAATGCAGTGTGAGTGTGCGATGCAAGAAGTAGGTAATTCATCAGAACAGAATTCCTTTGCTACGTAACGTAGCCGCCGCCCGTCCATATACTAAATCACCAGAGCGACGCAACATAAGTTTGCGATACAGCAGCCGGCTTGCCTGGTTTATTACAGAGGGGCCAGTACATCTGCATGAGGCTTTCTGGGCACCCGCGCAGAGATGCGGGCCCTACAGGCACAGCGTGACGCCACGCACGGTGTGGAAAACAGCAGGAAGCGCATGGACCCAAAATTGACCTCTCGTGACACGAGTGAGGAAGTCCATGCTGCCAGTGGCACGGAACTGGCCGATGACAAACGATCGGTTGAGCGATCCCCACGATATCAGAAACCCGCGCCGACGTCGTAACGACACGAGCTTCGACACGGCAGATGGAGGCCGATGAGTCCATAGATGGGTTTTGACAACGGGGGCACGTCGAAAAGCGACAGAATGCATAAACACAGATGTTCGACGATCCGCACGGATATCTTGGATCGCGGCATTTCCAGCGCCGCCCCCGGCGCGCCCCGCGCGGACCTCCAAGAGTGTGTGTTTACGCGTCTTGCTGCACAGTCCGGGCCCTGAAGAAGGAACCCTGTTCGTTGGCGAGGGGCTCCGCGTTCCTTAAGTGTTCCACAGCTTGCCTCAGGCTTCCCTTATGTTTTCGACCGGAAATCGAAGGTTAACTTGTGGAAAAAAAGGGGCCTCGTTCCTTATTTAGGGTTCCTTAGGTCAACGCCCCGACTGTACCTCTCGCAACGGTCAGGGGTTGCTAGCAGCGGGCCCGTGGCCCGAGGTGCCCACAGCTTGTCGCTGCGCCTGGCAGCCCCGCGGTGCCCTCCTGGCCTCGTGGGGGCCGCTCTGGACCGGGGAGCTCCTGAGGGGCGAAGGGCCGCAGCACAGCAAGCGAGGGGACCGAGATGGCGAGGGCTCGGCACCGCTGCGAGGGAGGAGAGAAAGCACCCCGGACCCGCTGGTTGGCGCCTGCCGGACGGCTCTGGGCGTTTCCTGGGCAGCCCTGCCCTGTCCGCTTCTCCTTTTCTGCGGGGTGCGTTTACTGAACGGCTCCGCGTGTCGGGGGTGATTACTATGATGGGGGGGATGTTCTGCCTTCTACCGATAAGTCGGGCCTGTCCCTCTACAGGAGGAATGTTCAAAAATAGTCCAATGATAATACGGGGACGATGCTTTGACTATTGTTGCCCATTTGGGGGGGTATCTTTTCGGTATCTTTCATGTTTCGCCCAAATTCCCCCTGTAGGGAGACACGCCCGACTGAAGTCCACCGCCGTGTCCCCACGGCCCCACCTCGGCCGCCGGCCGCGGATCCCCGCGCAGAAGGCCCCCCTCCGCCCCCGCGGCGGGCCCGCCCCCTGGGGGCGCGGTGGTCCGAGGAGGGCACGTCGAGACATCGGCGGCTGACCCTCCGTGGGGCCCCCTCGCCGCCACGGCTGGACGCACCTCGGAGAGCGGGTGCGTTCGGGCCCCGGAAGCGGTCCGGACCGACGGTTTTGGGGTGCCGTCGTCTCGCTTGGCCCTCCTGCGAGAGCGGTCGGCCGGAGGGCCACCAGGATAGACTCCTCCTCCTCCTCCTCCTCCTCCTCCTCCTCCTCCTCCTCCTCCTCCTCCTCCTCTTCCTCATAGCAGCAGGATTTGAGCAACGAAGGGGCAGCGCCCATGCGGTAAAGAAAGAGGCCGACTTAGACGATGCAGTAGGCAGGTAGACCGACTTGAGTGAGCGCAGCAAGTGAGTAGTGAGGCAAAGAGCGGTTGCAAAAAAACAGCAGCCCGCGAGGGCGTCGAGAACGAACGATCGAGCGAACACGAAGCAACTTTCTCCTCCCCTCCTCCCCCTCCTCCAGTTTCGCCCTCCTCGCCCTACGCTACGCTAGTGGCACGAGGTCCTGTTGTTGAGGTGCTGCCAGTGGCCCCCTCCTGCGGGCACCGTATGGGTACCGCAGGAGGGAGCCATCCCGAAAATGGGCCGCTCCGCCCGAAGAGGTGGGCCGACGAAGAACGAGGGGGGGGGAGAAACGGACGTGGTGCCGAAAGAGGAGGTCGAAGGGGAGGGCACGCACGGCGGTCCGAACGAGGAGGGAGGACGAGAGAGAGGAATGCGGGAAGGCACTAGACGCGCCCGCCCCGCCCCTTCCTCGCCCTCCTCCCCCTCCTCGTCCTCCCCCTCCCCCAGCGCGCTCGCGCAGGCCGCGGCGCCTGGAGCCACGCCGGAGGAGCAGCTCCGCGAGCAGCAGGCCAAAGAGGCCCCGCCCCCGCGGGGCCGGGCCGAGGGGCCTCCCGCCCGAGGCCTCCTGGCCGGCGCTGCCGCCGCCGCCGCCTGGCGTCGAAGACGGTTTAAGGGGGGGCGATGAATGTCAAGCAGTGGCGAAGCGCCCTGGTGTGCCTCCAGGCCCACCAAAGACCAAATAATGTTCCGAGAGCTACATGTGGTCTGCACGGGATGTTCCCAGAACATGTCTGGCCGAGATTGTTTTGCTTCAGCGCATCGGGAGTATGTTCTAAGACTCTTGTTTTTGTTTGTAGAACACTTGGAATATAGGAATGTCGTAGTGGGCCTATAGGAATGGCCCATGGAAGTAAGAAGTGGGGCGTATGAAACTTGGGAGATCTCATGAGCCCAAAAGCCTTTGCGTGCACCGAAGCCGCACGAACCTAACGCAATCGTCCACTCATCGCCGACATGGGCCCGATAGCCCAGCCCCTCCCAGGAAAGTGCGGGCTTGCCATCGGGTGCCTAACGCCGATCTATCGGCGATGTGTCGCCGATTCCAGGTCGATGTTTCCTCCCGTCTGTCAGTCCCCCCCTGTCGTTGCCCCTCATGCTGCTGCTGCTCCTGCGCAGTCACAGCTTGCGTCATGAAAGAATCACGATTGGAGCCCCGTGTCGTGTAGCTGGTCGGGGGATGGGAATGCGCACACGCACCGATTCTGGCCAGTGCCCCTCCTGGGCCCAGGATCGGTGAACGTGCCTCCCTGGCCGAGCCAGGATGGCGTATTCACCAGTCCTGGGCCCGCGATGGATCCGCCCAGGGCTGTGACCAGACGCATACTTCTCCTTCCTCTGGCTGTGACGTCTGCGACATGGAAGCCACGAAGAGCTCCACCGATTTCGCCACTGGATTCCGAGCGAAACGCCCGCCACCTTCAAGGATTGGAGCTCCACGACCCGACGCCGGCGTCGCGAAAGCAGCACGGCGGAAGATTTGTTTTTTTGTTGTTGACGTGTTTGACGGCCCCCGCCGGGGCCCCCGCCGGGCCCCCCCGGACCAAAAAGAAGTTGCTCGGGATGGAAGACTCGGGGGCCCCCAAACGGGGCGGTGACCACACCGTGCGGTGAGTCGGTGGGGATTCGGGGTCACCGCACGGTTTTGGAACTCGAGTCCCTCTCCGAGGACGTCTCGGGCGACAGGGGCCTTTGGGGTCCCAAAACCGTGCGGTGACGGGCAGCTCCGCTCGCGGACCGTTGGCCCCATCTTTCCCGGATAGCTCGCAGAGAGCTGAGAGGGTCTCAGATTCAGAGGCCGGAGCCGCAGGGTAGCCCCAGAGGTCGTTTCGGCGGCGGGCAGGGAGCTTCGGCGGGGCTTGCTTGAAAGTGCAGCGTGTCCCGAGATGCCTTTTCTAAGCGCTTCCCAACACGCGTGCCTGGAAGCTCTCCAGAAGGTCCTTCGGAAGCTCTCTCCAGGTCTTTCCAGAGTGCTTCGCCAGGCCTTTCCACGTACTTCGGGCGCCCTGCTATCCGGGTTTTGGACCCCACAAGTACGCTATGGCCCCGCTTGGGCGACGCAAAGATGCGGGGTCGTCTTCGCCGACATTCGCGCGCAGGCTTCCTGCGTAAAGTCGCGCGTGGCCGCCCTCGCTTCCAGCGCAGCGTGCCGCGCTGGCGGCCCGCGGGAACCACCGCGCAGGGTTGCTAATTATGTAATCGCGCGAAGGACCCGTTTCGTTTCGTCGCTCATGTGGGCGGCCTTTGCAGGCCCACTTTGGTGTCGAATGGGGCCCGGGCTCCGTGGGTCTGCCCCTGGCGTTCCCTGTGCATTTGGGCACAGCTGAGGCCCGAAAGAAGCGCCGCTCCTGGTCCAGAGCCTCTCATAGGTAGCGTAAGCTTGACTGCACTGTGCCTCCTCTTCCTCCTCCACCCCTCTTCGCAAAGAGCTACAGAATAGCAACAGCAGCAGCAGCATGCGCACGAGTCGAATGCTGGCGTCAGGCTCATTCGCTTCGCCTTCGCCATGGTCAGTTGTTTACTGGTGTCCCGCAACGCTTGATGGAGATGGTTTCGGAGAGCGTCCTGGTCCCCTGCAGCTGCTGATCGTCCGACTCCGAAAGCAACTCATTTCCCGAACCAGGCGAGAAGCACTGCGCGCTGGAGCACCCACCAACAGTTGTCAAGTATTGGTGCGTAGTCCAGCGCGTAGCGCTGGCCCCAAGCACCAGATGAACAGATGAGTGAATGGTATCTCCAAGGGTTCATCCATGGAGTCTGGTTTGGAGACGTATTTACATGTACGTCTCAGCAGTTGCTAAGAGCATTGCCCCCCGAGCGCGTGCAATGTTAAATGAAGAATACAATTCTAAGCCAGGATATTTCCACCAGTTGTGTGCGTGTGTGCGTGCGAGTGTGCGTGCGAGTGTGTGTGTGTGTGCGTGTGTGCGTGTGTGCGTGTGTGCGTGTGTGCGTGTGTGCGTGTGTGCGTGTGTGCGTGTTGTGCGTGTGTGCGCGTGCGCGTGCGCGTGCGCGTGCGCGTGCGCGTGCGCGTGCGCGTGCGCGTGCGTGTGCGTGTGCGCGTGCGCGTGCGAGTGCGTGTGCGTGTGCGTGTGCGTGTGCGCGTGCGCGTGCGCTTGTGCGCTTGTGCGTGTGCGTGTGCGTGTGCGTGTGCGTGTGCGTGTGCGCGTGTGCGTGCGCGTGTGCGCGTGTGCGCGTGTGTGCGTGTGCGCGTGTGCGCGTGTGCGCGTGTGCGCGTGTGTGCGTGTGTGCGTGTGTGCGTGTGTGCGTGTGTGCGTGTGTGACCAGCGCACGGTTGCACTGCGTCTGGCGTCCGCGTTCCCGCAGGGAAATAGGGGGGGCATCTTCTGACCCTGTTGCCTGGATTCCCATTACCGTGGTGTTCTTCTTGCTCCTCCCCGCCTCCTCTGAAGTGCACCTTGCGGAGGAAGACCCTAAGCAGCTTTAGACTGGCGGAGGGAAGGGCATAGACGAAGACTGCTAGAGGGACACAGAGGGACAACGGGAGTCCACAGGAGGAAACGGGAGACAACGGACAACGTGGGACCACTGGAGACGACGGGAGACCATGGGGGACCATGGGGGACCACGGGGGACAAGGAAAGACAACGCGAGACAATCGGCGCCCGACCGACTATTTTACATTCGGTCCGTCGGTTTGGGCACGGTAATGGCATCTCGGCCCGTTACATACACAGTTGAATCCCCACGGCTGGACGGGGGGGGGAGGGCGATTCCTGTTTGCCAGCGCCGAGCCTGCAGCAGTTCTCGCAGGGCCCAGCGGTCATCCGTTCTGGTCTGAGGACGCTCTGACCACATGCCCCGCTGCCGTCGTCCTCATTATCCTCGTCTTGCCGGATTCCGGAGATGCGATGCCGTGGCCATTTTAGCTCAAGCGTGCCGCTGGCGAAGCTGCGCGCGCCCTGCGCTCCACAGGCCTCGCACCCCAGGCGATGGCGGCCACGCTCGCGGGCGCGGCCTGTCGGCAGAAGAGCTTCAAAGTGAACGGAGTCGAGGTTCGAGCCTCTTAGGCGGGGTCCGACTAGTTGGGGTCGCAGGATCGCGCCGCATCGCCGATGCATGGGCGGTACGGCTCGATGTGGAGCCCGATCTTATCCACGCTGGAGATGCCGATGCATCGCCGATGTGGCGCGATCCTCCGACCCCGTTTACTCCGACCCCGTCTAGGAGGCCTCCAGAGGTGCAGACGGGAGTGCTCCCACGGCTCCCGCTTACACACCGCGAGTTGAAAGAGGTGGTTGGTCTAAGCGGAAAGGTCGTGGTGACCGTCACAATATTGAAGGCCGATGGCACGTTCGAATACCACGCAACGCTCCAAGATCGGGTCGAAGATTTTGCTGCGTTTTGGTTCAAGGCATACGATGAGCCAGGGAAGAGCGTGAACGTCAGCGTTGCTCAAACAGGGCAGGATCTCCAGGATGCTTGTGCACGTAGTTTCAAGAGGTTGCTGGCCCCTGCTTTGCTTCCGCTCCTGTGTGCGATTTTGCTACCAGGCTCGGGGCTCGTCCCGCGAGAAGTCGAGGCGACAGCATCTTACATACGGCATGCGGCCACTTCTTTCCCAGCAGGGCCGAGGCTGGAAACGCCGAAGGATCAGATGACGAAGTTCGCCGTAGCGAATGTAAAGGGTAGCACGAAGGAGTCAGACGCCAGCGGATTCCTGAACAACTTTCTCATGGAGGACACCCGAAGCTACATCAAGACTGTCATATTCGAGACGACTGCGAGCCACAAGCAAGATAACGTGGTGAATGC